CACGCGCCCCATGGATCCCCTCAGACTGTTGCGCGTCGTCATCGGGAATCACAACCACGTCGGACGGCATGGAAGCCATAGAACTCAACAGGCGGGAAAAGCTATGCCTGGTCTGAATTCTTTTGGCGACATTAGGTGCGCCGGTAAACGGTTCACCCATGGCCAAGACAGCTTTCCTTTTCGCCTGCATACGCGATAGCGCGATCCTCGCTACTCTCCATGGAAGAGGAGAGGGTACTTCCCAAAGGCATGACAGTAGAAATAGGGCGAACACGGAAGGGATTCGTCTCCGACGCCGACTCACCCGTAGGAGAAGTAGAAGGAGCAGCAGTCAAAGCAAGCTGGACCAACCGGCGAGGCGGAGGGAGCCGGTCAACTAGATCCACCTCGCGATACTCCAACTTGCCCCGGTAGCGTTTCCATAAAACCTCATCCATAGACAAAGGGGATTCAGCACCTGGGAAGGACAGAACGCGAATTATCAGTCACCTAAAAAGAAAAAAAGAGGGAGAAGGAAAGGAGGAAAGAAGAAAGCCAAACAGAACACTTACCGTCAACGTTGCAAAAGAACGCCGCCATTTTGCCACGAAGCCTCCAAGAGGGACTCATCCCTACACCGGAAAGGAGGGCTTCAGATTAGTCCTCAGGGGATACTTGGACACTCTTCAAGTAATCAGCAACGCCCTGATTGTGGGGGAAAAGCTTGGGGATGGTATCAGCAAAAGTATTTGCACAATATCGACCGCTCCCAACCAGTTCTTGATTCACCCATAGCCACTTATCCTACCAGTTCTTGGGGGTTCGTCCGTCGGGAACTAGAGCATGTCCTCCTCGCCGGACTGAAAAGGTGCATTTATCTCCAGTGACGCAAAATCTGAAGAAGTACACAAAAACGAAATAATCGGGAAGATAGCTATTGACCCTACAAATCATCTCGAATGCTACCACTTTGTTAACAGCATTTGGGGTCAGCATCTGCAAGCTACAACCATCCTTCTGGAGAACTTCTTCCTGAAAGTCCGTCAAAGGGAAGCGAATGCCAGCATCTAGGGTTTTCAAATAAACCCCGATTTTGCCAGAAAGGGGGATGAGATGCTAGAACCCGGAGAAGGAAATTCCACGCCCTCCACAGAAGATAAACCATATGAAATTTCAAGCTGGCGGTATTCAGCGACGGAGGGAAGGATACCAGGAAGACTCGCCATAGAGGAGGAGAAAAAAGAAAAACATAGAGAAAGGAAGACGAAGGAGGATAAGGGAAGAGTGAATGCAAAAAGGAAACCCTATAAGCGTTTTATAAAGGAACGGAAAGGGCGGGGCATTTAAAATGTCTGACACGATGACGTAACTGCCAACCATCATGCGCAGTCACGTCGCCATTAAGAGCGGAACAGCGGGTAAAGAAAAAGCAACACGTGTAAGCTAATTAAGCCCGGAACGCCGTAACTAGCGCTGCAACGCTACGGCTACCGGACTGGGGGACTTGATGACGTGCCTAAGACGGCACAACAGAATCGCGCCTAGCCAGAGCGCCGAGCGTTCCAGCCGGGCTAAGCCCAGCGGGCTCAGCGCCCGCCAGCGCCTCTGGGGACAGAATGCCCAGGCGAGGAGCTCGCGCCCGCCAAAGAACGCTCCCAGCTCCAAGACAAAAAAGACAATCAGGGGACAAACAGTGGATCAGGCCATTACCGCCAGAGCCAATAAGAGCGCTCTAACGATTGAGGATGCACGATCCTCCAATCAGCGCCTCTGATCTTGTCTCCCCAAAAAGCGATCCTGTCAAGTACGGACTGGGCAAGAGCGCTAGGTATAAAAGGATGCACTCTCGGACTCACAAGGTAAGCTCTTCTCTCTAAAGGAAGACACCAAAAACCCTAGATACCTTCTAACTTGACCGTCGGAGCGTTCTTCCGGGAGCACCCTCCCGGGAAACGGCTAACGGCCTCTCTTTCTTGTGATCTTGCAGAGGCAACGAGAAACCCGGTTCACCAGTGTTAATCCGGCGGAAGCACAGGTCGCATCATTAATTATTTTACCTATTGTTTCATTTTTTCATGTTTTGACTTCCTGAATAATAAGATTATTCGAACGTTCCACAGTCGCTCATACTTTGGGAGTAGGTATGAAAGAAGATTGTCATGAATTGGTTTGTAGATTGTCTAAAATGTATTAGACATAGCAAAGGTTTGCTGCAACGTTCATGAGTGCTTATGAACTGGATTTGAGCATTGGATTAGACCCGCGCTTGCTGGAATCACTTCATGGAATTTATCTCGAGTGATCGCAAGACAATAATATCATATGGTCTTAAAACCTAGATATATGGTTTATTATTTGCAAGTTGGTTATGCATTGATAATGCGTAAACGCATCAGTAACTTGATGTTATAAAACGCATTGTTGTGCATGATTTGATGAGTGAATGGTAAATGCATATAAGTCGAAGTTTATCTATTCCTTTTATCCTAAGAGGGTAAAAGCGATATTTGGGCCCCTCGATGATTTGGTTTGACTTATGTGTCGGGCCCGGTCAGGACTGAATTGATGTGTTCAATTAAGTTCTATGTCAGAAGAATCAGAGATCGAGAAACAAACTGCTGGACAATAAGTATGACTATGTTCGATGTAATTGTCCGCACGATATCTAGAACGGAGGACTATACGATCCCTTATCTAAAGGACAGGTTACTGATAAGATCAGAGTTCGACAGCGTCTTTGAGAGCTACGATTGCTAATCGGATTGTACTTACGCTATAGTTACTAGACTTATACAAGTGGGAGACTGTTGGATTAGTGTCTAAGCTCGTAACTATATTTGGTAAGTATTTGACCCGGTTGTGCATGGTCCTTTTGGGTTGCCTTCACCAAAGCAACTAGATAGGATGATTTATGAAAAGAGAGGTTATTGTGGTTTATTAATATATTATATGAATATATATTAAAGAGAAGAAATATAGTTTAATTAATATTAGACAAGAATTAATTAAGAATTAATTATGTGGCTAAAAGACATTAATTAAATAAAGGGGACTAGAACTGTCAGTTGTGTGATAGTTGAATATTGGGCTGAGAAGCCTTATGGACTAAGGCATGGACGAAATTAAGATGGAGGCCATCTTGAATTCGTCCAAGGAGGCCTTATTCCAGAAGGTTCCTTGGACTGCTTAAGACCTAAGCTGTCCATTAGGGTTTTCACTGAAACCCTAGCAGCACAAGTATAAATAGACCCCTAGGGCATCAGAATTCGGTTACCAGAAACCCTAGAGAGTTCCATAGCCAAAATTAGTGCATCCCTCCTCTCTCTCTAATATCATCTTCTTCGTTGTGGTGTTTGTAAGCCATTAGAGGAGTGACATTTGTGACTCTAAGCTCCAAGAGAAGAAGATTCAAGTCATTGTTGAAGAGGTAATCATCTAAATCTGATCTTATATGATATTTTCGAAATATGTATGCTACATCTAGGGTTTATAAGTTTTGGATGAATTGCATGTACAATAGAGAAACCTAGATCCAAGCTTTAGGGTTTGCATGAACACATAGAATGTTCTTTTGTATAAAACCCATAAAAAATAACACATTAAAATAATAAAAAATATATTAAATACTTTATATATATATATATATATATATATATATATATATATATATATATATATATATATATATATAACAGTAAAAAATACATTTATACATTTAAAACACATAAAAATACGTAAACATATACATATAAAAACTTAAAAAATACATAAATACATAAAAATAGATATAAATACGTAAAAAAATACGTTTATACATTATATACACGTTTTGACGAAATCTTCAAAAAAATTTCATTATTTTGGAAAAATTAACGATTTGGTCTAATGACCAGCTGAACAAGTCAAAAATTGCTAAAGTGTATAAAATAGTCGGTTTCTTGGATTTTTCTAATCAAAAAGTTAAAATATCTGAACTTTTATTTTTAAAAAATAAAATTTAGAATTTTATCAAAAAACTTCACAAAATATTACTATACTATATTCAGGGACGGTTCTATTTGGGTGCCCGTAGTGACATCGGCAACCCCTGCTTTTTCTGTACGCAGTGTAAATTTTTTGATATTGTTCGATTTTTTTTTTTTTTCTACTTACCGGCAACACCTACTACGGACCGGCAACACCTACTACCAAATCTTGCGTCCGTCCCTGACTATATTTATATTATTAGACATGGTCACTAATAATAGTATATTTTATATGTTTTAAGATTTTGTCATAACACTTTTTATAGTTTGCCAATTTTAGTCCATATTTTATATGTTTCAAGATTTTGTTTTAAGATTTTGCCAAAATACTTTTTATAGTTTGCCAATTTTAGTCCATATTTTATATCTTTCAAGATTTTGTCACAATACTTTGTATAGCTTGACAATTTAGTCCCTAACGTGTTGTAATTTGAGATTGACCCATATCTTTTAATATTTGCCACTTTAAGTCCCATTAATTTGTATGTTTCAACATTTTGACACAATATTTTATATAGTTTGACAATTTTAATCCCTGGTATTTTGTAATTAATGATTGACCACATATCTATTAATATTTGTCACTTTAAGTCCCTTTGACCATTTTAGCCTTCTTTTTTTCTCTTTTTTCATCTTACTATTTATATTTCATTAAGAATTTGCTACACATGTTTTAATATTTCTCATTTTCAGTCTCTTTGACCATTTTTTACCTTCATTTTGTCCATTTTCCATCAATCGATTTGTGTTTCTATTTTGGGCTTCATTTTTTCCTATCGTCATTCTTTAGGAATAAAACAAAACGCATCTAATTGCCACACCACGGGCACACCCACTAGTTATTATAAAGATTTTCCAAAGTATATATTACGTTAACCTTAAATAAAACTTCGAGATCCTCACGTGCAGATCACATATCCATCGTCTTCCTCGCACCGAAGGGAAATCGGGAGTACAAAATTTCAAAACCCTAAAAATGAACAATCTGAAAATATAATGGATCCAGCTCCGCCGTCAACCACCAAGAGCTGGAGCATACATACCCGCCGGGAGATCACCTCCAAGTATGAGATTCAAAACCGAATCGGATCTGGTGCCTACTCCGACGTCTACAAAGCTCGCCGTCTCTCCGACGATCTTACAGTCGCATTAAAGGAAGTTCACGATTACCAATCCGCTTTCCGAGAGATCGATGCGCTTCAAACTCTACAACATTCTCCGAATGTTGTCGAGTTGCACGAGTACTTCTGGAGCGAAGACGAAGATGCAGTGCTTGTTCTCGAATACCTTCCGACGGATTTGGCGTCGGTGATCCGCACCGCGAAGAAGGAATGGAATGGGTTGAGCGTCGGAGAGATCAAGCGATGGATTATTCAGATTCTATTGGCGGTTGATGCTTGTCATCGGTTCCATTATTCATCGTGATTTGAAGCCATCAAATTTGTTAATTTCCGCCACCGGTGTACTCAAGTTAGCTGATTTCGGCCAGGTGATTATCTTAAGTTCACTGTTTCATAATCCTATAACTGTTCCTGTAAAGAGAAAACAGATCTATAATTTCTTACAACATTGTATGAGAAATCCTTAGAGATTCTTCCATTCTCAAATAGGAAACACTCATCTTTTTCAGCTGATTGATTGAATAATATCATTGTAGTAGGCATGTGAATCACCTACAAATACCTTAAAACTGCAATGAGCATTACATTTTTCTAATTCAAAACAATAGATTCTTCTTTCTCCAAACTTTTCTGAATCCAAAACTCAAGAACATCTTGCATTAATTTCTTACAGGCAAGGATCCGTCTAGCACCCGGATTCCTTTCAGTTCACACGACAACACACAGCCACAAGTCCAAGAATCGTCTCTCTTCCAACAACAAGAAACAATCACCCAAGAAACTCGTCCAAATCTCATGGAACCACCACCTCTAAGAACCATAGAAGAATACCCAAAAGACCCCATTGATGAACTCCAACTCGATAAAGAAACAAACTTCCCAGATGTAGACACATCATGTCTCGCCACATTCACCACTAGTGACATAGAAGACGACTTCCTCAAAAGCAACTACTCATACAACGAAACTGGAAATGACGAATCCGCCCTTCTAACATCATGTGTCGGGACCCGTTGGTTCAGGGCACCCGAGCTTCTATTCGGGTCAACAAATTACAGTGCAGAAATCGATTTATGGTCTCTCGGGTGTATAATCGCAGAGCTTTTCACTCTACAACCGATTTTTCCAGGCACTTCAGATATCGATCAATTAAGTCGAATTTTTACAGTTTTAGGCAACTTAAATGAAGAAATATGGCCCGGGTGTACACAATTACCTGATTATAAAATAATTTCATTTGGGAAAGTGGAAAACCCAAGTGGGTTAGCTTCATGTCTTGTGAATAGATCACAAGATGAGATTTCACTTGTGGAGAAGTTACTTTGTTTTGACCCGGCGGGTCGGGCTGCAGCCATGGAGCTGCTTCATGATAAGTATTTGAATGAAGAACCGGTTCCGGTTCCTTTGGGTGAATTGCGGGTTCCCGGGTCGAACCGTGGTGGAGATGATGATGGGTCGAGTGAATCTGGGGAATGGGGTGGGGGTGGACCCATGGGTTCGGATTCGGATTTTGATGATTTTGGTGGGTTTGATGTTACTAAAGGAAGTGGTGGAGACTATTCGATAAGGTTCGAGTGATTTTGTTATGTTTATGTGTTATTATTTTTTGTAAATGTAAGTTAAACATGAATGAGATAATAAAGTTAAACATGTTAATGTTTACTACTTTTGTTTGTAATTAAAATTTGATGTACATAAATTGGTTCCAATAGAAAAACTCAACCTCACATGTTCGGTTTTGGTTGTTGCTCTAACTCAAGTACTCAGATTGTATACGGTATCAAAAAGGAGTTTAGGAAAAGAATGTTTGAAATATATGTCACCAAAATAAAATAAGTTGATAAGTAGCTTTTTAGTGGTAGGGTAGGTATATTCTGTTTAAACATGTAAAATGACGAAAAAGGAAAGGAGTAGAAGGGCGGATTTGTATGTGCATCATTATCATGAAAAACGAAGAACCAGAACTAGGCTACTAAATCACAATAAACTATTAAGCAAGTTACATAAGATATTTTTTAAGGGAAAATGATTTAAAAGGGTAAGATATTTTTTGTTTTGTATACTTTAGTCACAAAATTTAGTGTTTTGTCTACATTTGCTCATTAAACTTGTTTTTTTTTCCATATCTTACCCCCTGTTTTTTTTTTTTTTTTTTTTTTTCTTGAATTAGTTAAAAGGAGGAAGTTTTGAAGTAAAGATCATAGCTTTGGAAAATGACATGAACATGTACAAGATAAACTTTCCTTCAATCTTTGGTTCAAAACCCCATGGCTTCCTTTTCATCATTCTTCATCCTATTCAACTTCACATAAAGATCAGATAAGGTTGTATGATACCATTCATTTGGAAGTTTGGGATCAATGCATTCCCAAAACAAAAAAAACAGTTTCTCTTTGATCCTAGGTAAGGATTAACAAACAAAATGGTGCATGTTATCTTCTCTCCAAGATGTCCTAATTTGAGAAGGTAAAGCCACAATCACAACAATATTGAAAGCGCACCTAGTATATACTGCTAGCCACAAGCACAGACAATACCTTCAAGAAGAGTTCACATTATATCATATCATAAAATACAAACATACATAGTCTAGTCGTGTTATTTTACTTTACACACATCACATCATATTTGATCTCCTCTGCTATCAACTATTAGCATCACGGGTTTACATTTACTCTAACAACATAAACCAATCAATCAGATTTCACTATACTCTTGTGGCAAAAGCGCAATCTCAATTTCTTGAAGTGTTTTTCCTTTTGTTTCCATAACATTCCTTTTCACGAAGGCCACTCCCACCAAACAAAAAGTACCCAACATCGAGTATAGCAGTTGTGCACCCATCAACTCCAACAAACGTAGGAATAATAATCCCACCATAAAATTGAACACCTAGTAGACAAACATATTAGTTAAATTAAAAAAAAAAAAAAAAAAAAGGAAGAGGATGAAGGGTGTAAAGTGTAATATTATTATTACCCAATGCACTGACATGCAAAAGGCCATTGCTTTTGCTCTTATACGGTTTGGGAAGATTTCTGACAGGAGGAGACCTGGAACGGGACCCGCTCCAATTGCAAATGAAAACACAAACCTACATACAGAAATAGCAATATACTTTCATTTATCTGTTTATCATAGCATTCTACTTCCATTTTTTTTTCCTATTACAATTTAGTTTTTAATTTTATCAGTTTCAATATTTTCTTATTAGAGAATCCACAATGGTTAACCTCTTGTAAACCTTATTTATTTTCCCCATCAAATTTTCACTAACTTTATTCAACTGAAACATATCTTTATAAATCTTCTCCGATGTATTAAGCTTTTTTTTTTTAAATAAATAAAACTTATCCTCACCTATTTGATACAACTATTTATGAAATTTTTAAAGGAAAAAAATAAAAATATTGGATCTTTATCCAAGGGTGTTGGGGTATTTCACTAACTTTATTCAACTGAAACATATCTTTATAAATCTTCTCCGATGTATTAAGCTTTTTTTTTTTAAATAAATAAAACATATCCTCACCTATTTGATACAACTATTTATGAAATTTTAAAAGGAAAAAAATAAAAATATTGGATCTTACAATAGCATGCCACTGACAGAGAGGTATAGAGCTCCAGATGTGGATGCAAACAGGCCTGCTGCAATTACTTGAAGGACTGTAGATATAGCCTAAAATAACAAAAACCATCAATACAAAAAAAAAAAAAAAAAAAAAAAAACATCATTTCAGAATCACATATTTCTGATACGAATTATTATCCAAGGGTGTTGGGGTAAAAATTTTGTGATTTTTGGGGGATTAGTTTTATATTGTTAGTTATTATTTATCAATTATAATTAGTTTCCTACAATTATAGTGGCTTGGTAATCAAGCTATTGAATTAGGGTTAGTTTAGGAATCCTTGAGTATATATAGATCATTAGGGTGAGGAGAATTAATCAAGTCTTTTGATTTTGGGAAAGCCGGTTTACGTGAATCGTGAGTAATAAAAAAATTATATTTGATTTGTATCAATTTCACGAAGAAATTACTACATTTAGTTAACAAAAAAAAACTTTGCAGGTCCTAAAAGCAATAACTATAGGAGAGAAATAGAATGTTGATGATATTGGCTTTATTATAGGATCCACCTTTCAATTCTTCCTATCAAAACATTATACTTTTAAAAATCCTATCCAGTTATAGCAATGTCATCCATATAAAAACAAATTTTCAATGCTATAATTTGGTAGATTTTTCTAAGTACAATGTCTCAATGAGAAAAAAAAAACAAAAGTAAAATGCTATAATAGATAGAAATACAAGTAGGATGCTAATTGTTAGTAATAGATAACATAAATATCAACTATCTCAATTATGCATACAACAACTAGGCATGTGAAAATTACCATGCCAAAGAAGCTCCAAAGAAGGAGAACCTTCCTCCCAAGTTTATCCATGAGAAGCAAGGCAATGACAGATCCTGAATGAGTATAAATATCACAAGTTAGGAAAAAATGTTGATAATTAAATGGTGAAACAGAGTTGATAAATACAATACCCAAAAGGTTGACAATCCCCACAAAGGCATTAGCTAGGTTTGATGAAACTCCCGCACTTCTGAATACAGTTGAAGAGAAATAAAACACGGCATTTATTCCAGATAGCTGTTGTAAAGCAAACAGGGTTGACCCAATAAAAACAACTGCAAAAGGACCAAATAAATAACAAAGCTTTTTTTTTTTTTGCACCCAACCAAAACCCAGAAATCCACGGAAATCAACTCCAATTTGTTACACAGGACATGACATGACAGCTTTTACATCATTAGACTGGGATTGATGTGAATGAGACAAAAAATTGTACCAAAAAGGTTGAACAAGGCGAGACAAAGACTCGCACTCAAATCTCTCGTTTATGAAAAAAGACATAAATGCCCTCCTCATCCTCATCCTTGAAAATAGCCCTACAAAGCTTGTCCAGTTCTGTCCCATGTAACAAACGCGTTTGTGATACACAACATGAATGGAACTGAACAAGCTTTCTAGGGCTATTTTCAATGATGAGGATGAGGAGGGCATTTATGTCTTTTTTCACAAACGAGAGATTTGAGAGCCAGTCTTTGTCTCACATTGTTCAACTTTTTTGGTACAATTTTTAGTCCCATTCACATCAATCCCAGTCTAATGATGTAAAAGCTGACATGTCATGTCATGTGTAACAAAAGGGGCATTATAATCAACAAGTTACCTCTAAAATAGCGCCCATAAAACAGTTCTGAAATCCCAACAGTGTCATTCTCGTCCCCTCTGTCCGACTTCAAGAGCTCTGCCATTGCTGATCTGACATTTGCTGCTCCTACAAGTTTCTGGAACTCCACCTCTGCTTCAGCATTTCTTCCTCTCTATAAAGGATTGGAGTAAAATTACTCATATGCCCTTGTTTTATCAAAAATAGAAATGAAGACGAAAACAGACCTTGTAAAGCCAATGTGGACTTTCTGCACAGAATATCATAGCAAGAGCAAGTATTGTGGATGGAATTGTAGATAACCAAAAGCAGATACGCCACCTGGACATACATTCAAACAATGAATCTAAATCTAAAATGTTAATTACAGTTTCAGAGGTAAACAGTGCTTTTGTTACCAGCCTGAGATGCTCTTTACAGGAATCCCGATTAAAAGAGCTCCCATCAACCCTAAACATGTTGAAATTTGAATGAAGCTTCCATAAGTACCACGCACAGCAGGAGGTGAAACCTGCTAGAAATTATTATTTTAAAAAAAATGATAAGTGATAATGAATTTCCATATGCACAATTCATATCTGAACAAGAAGTAGGGTTTTTTGACCTCTGTGATATAGAGAGATGCAACAGGTGGACCAATACCCAATCCAATTCCAACAATAAACCTCCCAATTAGCATCCCTGTCAATGTGTTTGTTGTTGCACTGGAAAATATATATAAATTAGTATCTTTATAAAAATTCTACAGTACACACATAGATGAAACAAAACAAATAAGGTGGTCTATCTTTGACTTAATGGACTTAATGGGCTGGACAGATATATATAGAATTGTTTCTTTAATAACAGAAGGGTAAAATTGTCATTTACTCACATTCAGACAGTTGATTTAAAATATATTACCTACAAGAAGCACCGATGATCATAGGCAAAGCACACAACTGAAAAGCCCTTCGGCGCCCAAATCCATCAGCAATCCAACCACTGAACAGAGACCCAATAAAGGCACCACCAAGACACGTACTAACCACCAGACCTTCATTTACAATGCACCAAAACTCATAAGATATAATTTATGATGCAGATAACAGAAGAAGAAAAAGATGAATCTTTGGTGAAAATGAAAAGACACCTTCAGCTAAGCTATCCCCACTGAAACCAAGATCATGAGAAATGCTTTCAAGCGGTTCATTCACTACCCTACACATAAAATAACATGGTTTACATTGTTACAGAGTGGATTAAATGTAGTTTATAATTTTGCTTTTGAGGGGAAGGTCAATGGAAACAAGAGATGTATAGATTAAGAACAAACCCGAGATGGTAACCAAATAAGAATGAGACTAAGGATGCCACAAGTACATGAGGTAGAGAATGTCTTGGAGATGGATCTGTAGATTCTTGGAAATTATCAATATCATCCTGCAAAAGTTCTATTCAAGCAAACAAGATTTTTCAGAATATTATAAACCCCAAAAATGTTGCAAGAGTGAAGTATATTATAGAGTAAATTGACATAATAAAAAACATGAATTGTTTGTAACACCTATATTGACCAAACTTTTTGCATCTCTAAACTTCATCAACAGAAGAGCAAGCATAAATATCTAAGCTGAAAAAATATGATGAATAAATAATAATCAGATATTTACCAGAACCATCTTCTAGTTCAACTGAATTTGTATAGTCCTTAGACGGCGTGCGTTTATACATCGAGGCAGAACTGTGTGGATGCACCCGCATACCAGAACCTGTCCAGACTTGATTCCAGATTGCAGGATTTGGAGAACCCTAAGATCACTGTCGTCAAAAACATGTAAACAAAACGTCATTTACATATCTACCAGATAAAACAGAGCATCATATATAAAAAAATTAAGCTTCACAATATTTCAAAAGCTGTGGTCTAGGTCTTTACTGTGTAAAATGATCCTTTGTAAACATCAAGATACTTTACTTGTTGTTTCTAGACTGTCATCTACACACTAATTACTAAGCTCGATAACCTCAACACGCAGTAGATCTAACACACTAGAACATAAAACCTATAATCAAATACGTTATACGTGCAAATGTGGAGCAGTTTACCAAGATCGAAGCTGCTAACCTAACGATTTGTTCGGGTTCTTCGTATAATCGAAAGTAAACTGAAGTTTGAAAAAGTGATCAGGAATTCGACGAGCTCCTTCAGTAAATTTCGGAACAACAGATTGTATTATTGCTTCAGACGTACGCGTATGAAGGCGGTTACGAGTGGTTGTGGCTTTAATACGCCGAACACTTGTTGCTGCGCAACGTTGCATTGTTATCCACACCGTTCGATAGTTTTAAGAGGACCAAAAATAAAAATTAGTTTATTTACAAAATATGCACTATTAAAAAAAAAGTTTGGACCTAACTGAAATTGTGCCATATAGTTTCTTTGGATTGGTATTTGGTATTTTCAGTTTTTGGGACTATCAAGTTCGGTATCTTTGGGTAAAAACTGTAATCGAATCAGAATTTATATTTTTATTTTTATGTTTTTCTCTATCTTATCTTAGCTACTTCAAAAATAAAACAATTGGGATACTTGAAAACTTAAATTTTCAAAGACTTCTGTCTTTTTTTTTTCTTTTTTCTAACTAGACATGTATAAAAAATTTCAACTTTTATCACTTATAACCCTCTCATATAAACTTGGATTGTGCTGATTTTTTTTTGCTATGACTTCATCTTAGAATCAAGAACCTCTTGTTTTGTTGTACTTAAGTTTGAGTTTTATAGCATCAAACATAGGTTGTTGCACACAAAAAAATCAATATTAGAAATGATATTGGTACCAAAATGTCGCTATCGGCACTAGAACCAAACCAATATCATGTATTATATTTTGGTTCCGTACTCGGTTCCTACAAAATCTAATTTTCAATATTAATATTTTCAGATTCGATGTTACATGCCAAGCCCACCCCTCAATGATACCCCATATCACAAGTTCGCAAAACACCCCTCAATTTACTAGAAAAGATGCAAATATATAATAGAAACTATATTATAATATTAAGGTAGTGGGGAGTTATTAATAAATGTATGTATTTATAGATGGTTATAACATTAAAAACAATGAATATCATTTTCTGATTTGAATATTATCAATTGGTTTTAAGTATTTCTTTAATTACATTTAAACGATTAAAATTCTTATCTATTTAAATTTAGATGTTTATAAAATGGAACCGAAAACCAAGAAACCAATGAAACCAAAACTATCGATTTTGAGTTTTGATTTCAAAAACCAAAAAAATCAATTTTCAGGTTTTGTTTTGGGTTCATAAACCGGCCCATTAAACCGAACTCACCGAAACCCAAAAACATACCTATAATATATATTTTTGATTATCTAATATTTGATATATACTTTAAAAATTAAGAACAAAAATATAGAACATATCCCAGTAAGTAAATGTTAGGAGCGCTACTAAGCCAATCATGTTCAACATTAAAGAACAATGGGGTTCCATTTTCTAAACCAATTCGCTCACCTGACCTGGGTCATCAGGAAGACTTTTGATACAAGGCTTCAGGATCAACTTCGTTGGACCGGGGATTGCGCCACCTGCACCGACAACATCATCCGGGCTACGACCGTAACTCTGATACCACTTGTTAGGATCGTTACTAGCCCAACCATGCTCAACATTGAAGAACAATGAGGTTCCATTTTCTAAAATCAATTGGTGATATAAGGGATTACCCATTGTCTTATATGCTAACATCTAGTTTCTTATTTTACCAATGTGAGATTAGGTTTGCTCCCCAACAATGAGGATTAAAGATTGGTGTTGTGATGGTGTTTTCATGTTTTGGTTGTAATGGATTGTTTATGTTTTACTTTGATGGTGTTCTTATATTTTTGTTGTAAAGTTCTAAATTTAGCAGTTTTTATATTTTCTTAAACTATTTAGTTGATTTTGATGTTTTTGATTGGTTTTAAATTGTTGGAACGATGGAAAAGAATCTAATGTATTTTGTTTATATTTGTTGGGAAATAGGTTAAAACTCAAAACCCATTAACATATGAGTTGAACCCGATAAACCGAACTCATTCATAAACGGAACCTAATGGGTTCTAAAAACTAAAAACCGAAATCAATGGGTTTGGTTTGGTTTTGTCCCAAAATCTACCCATGCCCACCCCTACTTTAAGTGTTATAAGTATTGTTCAATTAATTAGTGTTTTATAATTATGTTATTGTAGCATATTAAAATGTCAACTTTTAACGGGAAAAAAATTCATGATTCCTGTTGGGATCCTCGTTTCGCTTTGGAGACAAGGATGATGATGCATTTATACTTCCTAGTGGGGATGACGACGAGGACTCAAATAGGGATGAGGACTAAGATCTCTGATGTCCACACTCCTCTTTGTTATGGGGGTGTTATGATTATGGCTATAAACGAACTGAACATTCAGCGAACCGTTCAGCGGGAACCGATGACTAAGTCAGAAGTCGAGTAGAGATTAATTCTCTATGATTCGTAAAATATATTTGATATTGTGAACCTGTATCCCCATTCGGTGAAGAAAATTCGTTAATTGATGAACACTTCAATAAAACAAATAACTGATTTTCACCATCAAAGGTAACCTCTAATTAATAATGATTCAATTGTTCAAATATTTTTTCATGATCTTTAGTTTGACACGTCGACGTGATTGGGAAATGCGGGTTCATTTTGAATTTGAGAATCTACGGTTTCCATGTTCAATTTCATGAATCAACAAATGAGTTAACCCAACTTGTTAGATCTTTACGTACAAATAAATCTCTTTGGAAACTGGGTGAAAAAAAAAGCTCTAATCTTGGGTGTGGTTTCTAAGCGTGGTGAAGAATTGATTATACATTTAGGTTCTTAGGTTGTTAATTGATTAGGTATGATTTGTTGAAAAAATATTATGAATTTAAGTATGTTTGATATTGAATAGGATTAAAGTCACTTGTGGTTTATCATTATGCAAAGGTTTTTTTGTTGACAATGCTTTTCCAAATCTTAGTTCAGCCATAATTTATCAATTTTATTTTCCCCAAAGTTAAGAAAATTAAAATAGTAGATATTTTTAAAATGTCAATTAGCCTTTTAAATGTCTTTATTCATTCATATTATAATTATAATAATTTGTCATTCCAATGTAATTCATTTATGATTATGCTGTAATTCATTTGTGTTATTGTAATGCCTTGTTTCGAATTGTTCCCATGTTGGGGATAGTGATTAGGGATTGGGTATTAGCAAGCTTCAGACCCGTGGGTAATTGAGATTCAGACTCAGTTGGGGTTGGATAAGGTAATTCGAATGGTTCGGGTATTCGATTTGTGTTTTGGAATCAAAGGGCATTTCGGTAATTTGTTAGCTCGGGCTTTTATGGGAAGTGGATGTTCGGTCGGGAACCTTATGGAAAGTATGAGTTGATGATAGTGTACAGCGTCTCGATACCTTTTCATGGATATAAGGAAGGTCGAGATCGGAATTGTATCGAGAAAGTTATGGCATTCGTGATGGATTCTTGATACCTTTTCATTTTAGCCCTTGAAGTATCTCTTTTTGGCAAATGAGGAACTTCCGTACATTGGGCGTACATATGCGTACGCTTGGCATATGCTTGAGCATGCATCGCAGAGCTGAGGCTCGTACGCGGGGCGTACGAGGCCAGAGACCAAAAACCCTAATTTCATGACTTGCACCATATTTAAACAACCTTATATCATTTTGACCAAACCCTAATCATCATCCATAGACTCATTTCGTACTAAAACCCCAATTTTGCAAGGAGGTGTGAGATTTTAGCTTAAAGGTGTGTTTGGTGGCCTTTCTAGAGGGTGTGCAAGAAGAAGAAGGTGGTGTTCAAGTTTTGATTAAGGAGCTTTTGGATCCTGCATCTGGAGCCTCTTGGAGAACTTTTGAAGATAAAAAGGTTGCATCTTGTCTATCCTCATTGCTTGTTGAGTTAGGGTTTTCTAGAGTCCACTTTTGAGTCCATAAATCATCTCTTGTGAGTTTGGGAAACTCCACAGATTAGGAAGGCTAGATATAAGACTCTTGGACCTGTTTATTGTATACAAATGCAATCTTGATGTATTCTATGGCTTCATGCATGAGTTAAGACCTTTGGAAAGGTCTTAACGAGTTAGAGTGAGTTGTTGGGATCTTATATATCATGCAAAGGCATAAAGTTGCCAACTTTATGCCTTGTGATCATTAAATCGACCAAGATATGGAATTTGAGTGAAGATTTTGCATGCATTAAGCACTTGATGGATTATGTGCATGAGCGGTTTGTACGATGCACGTACAACCCATTTGCCCAGTACGCTAAGCGTATAGAAGAGGTACACTGGGCGTACGCTCTTAGGAAGATTTGGGCCTTGGCGGACTTTTGACCTTTGGGCCCTAATGGTTTTGGGCATGGACTTACTGGTGTTTGGGCCTGAAATTATCTTTGGGCCAATGTTGGTATGTTTGGGCCTATTGGGCCTTGTGGTGTCATTTCGGGTTTTGGGTTATCGTTGGGCTTGTATTGCTTGGGGTTTTTGTTGGTCCAATTGTGATTATATGTTTTAGATTAGGTAAAAGTTTTTAGGGTTTAGGGTAAAGCCCATGTAAGGGTTGGGCTTTAGATGACTTTTTGGTTTGTGGGCCTTTATGATGAGGAGTTTGGACCTTAGTCTTGGCCTAACCTAAGGTGAGGGGTAAATGGTCTTTTTACCCCATATATGGATTATTGGATTAGGTTTGGAACCCGAATGTTAAATTGGGTATTATTTGTTTGATAGCGCGGGGACTTTAGCGGATCTGCAGTCAGAGAGTATCCGTGAGATTCAGCTGTCCGAGGTGAGTATTGTCACCATATCCATGAGTCGAAGGCACCAATGTCGGCGCATTACTTGTTATGTGGAATGCTAGTTGTCTCTATGATACTTGAATGAAAGACCATGGGGGAGCCCATGGCAGTTGGATATTAGACCTTGGGGGGGGGGGGGATACCATGACATTCCAGGTAAAGACCATGGGGGAGCCCATGACACTTGAATATCAGACCTTAGGGGGAGCCCATGGCATTACAGGTAAAGACCATGAAGGAGCCCATGACACTTGGATATTAGACCATAGGGGGGAGCCCATGACATTCCAGGTAAAGACCATAGGGGAGCCCATGACAACTATATGTATGTCGCATGATATTCTGTGGTTGTATGTTATATGGTATTTTGGGGAACTCACTAAACTTTGTGCTTACGGTTTTCAGTTTATATTTCAGGTATTACGGTTTCCAATTGGAAGAGCTCGGGATGATTGCAGAGCACACAGCACATGTTTCTGTATTCTGTGAATCACTCTGATATAATGATGTTTTTGTTAATCTTGATTACCTTGGTTTTATGGGAAAGATTTGTAATAACGATTTATTAATCTAAAAACAAAAAAATTTATGGCGTGATTTTCGGGACGTTACAAGTTGGTATCAGAGCCTTAGTTTGAAGGATTCAGACATACTATCGGGTGTGTCTAAACTCAAACTGAGGATTTGTAAAGTTTTCAAAATAAAAGTATTTTCAAGAAAAGAATTTTCTAAAATAAGAGAAGGGTGTGGTGCATGCAATCAGCCGAGCTAAAGTAAGTTTTCCAAGAATACCCATACAAGTTATCTGTTATGATTTGATTTATGAATCTGTAAATTGCATGCTAGTTAGGGCTAAGAATCTGCACAGTTCTTGCATGGTAGAATGCTAGGAGTGCGGTTACATACAACTATCGATTTCTTTATGTATATACAAGATTTCATTTTATTGATTGGTTTTAAGTTCTATTTATATATGGATATGGTTTTTATATTTTATTGTAATTTTGTATAGATTGATCAAATAAAGGGGGGTGTTTGGAATTTTTTAGGTATCACTACTTGTTACACTCGTGAATTTTAGCAACCAAAAAGGAATATCGGTTTATGTTAAAAGAGTTCACTCCAAGTCAAAAGATTCAACATAAGAAAAAGAAAAATCCATGTTACAAGGAGAACCAAAATAAATATATATTTATAAATAGAACTAAATATGAATGTATGAAATTATGAATAGAACTAAATGTAGTTTTATTCATTTATTAATAAAATTGGATATATATATATTATTATATATATATATTAATATTATTATATATATATATATATGAGTCAATTACACGAATGGTCCCTATGGTTTGGGGTAATTTGCGCGTTTGGTCCCTAACTTTTTTTTTTATCTCGGAAGGTCCCTACTGTTTGTTTTTGTTACGCGTTTGGTCACTACTGTTTATTTTTGTTACTCGCTTGGTCCCTGTCTTACCTAAAAAGACTATTCTTTAAATAGGAAAAAATGATGGGGTAGGTAAAGTAAGATGATGATGGTGGGGTTGAGGGTGTGTTTATTTAAATAAGTAAAAAATCAAGGGAAAAAAATGTAGTTTTAGGTAAGACAGAGACCAAACGCGTAACAAAAACAAACAGTAGGACTTTCCGAGTAAAAAAAATAAGTTAGGGACCATTCATGTAATTTAATATATATTATATGATATATAGATATATATATATATATATATATCTATATATATATCAAAATGTTTAATTGTTTAATCATTCATGATTATGTTAATTAAATTTTTTTTGGAAAACGGCATATATATATATATATATATATATATATATATATATATATATATATATATATTAAAAAGCACGCCTACATCAAGATGATGCAGATAGTATATTACAACGAGAATAAAACTATATTTAATTAGATGAAATAAAATTCTCAACAATATCATTTTTGTATACACTTTCATTAATTAATGAATACAACAGAAAATTACTTTTATTATCTATGAAAATATCTTTAAAAACAAAATCAATAAAACTATATTTATTTTGTTCATTTATGAAAATGAGTGTATAATTAATTAGTTTTATAAAAATGTTTTTTTCAATCTTTCGACAACAAATAATAAAAAATATTAATTGATTCCATATTTTTACATAACTATCAATAAGAATCCCTAAAATCAACCACCAAGGTTGATAAAAAATCAACCACCAAGGTTGTGGAAATAAGAACCTAATCTGAATTAATAATCTTTAGCCATAAAAGATTCTCAATCCAAAGAGATGGGGTATAAAATGGTGTATTTAGAACAAGAAAATGAAGATTTAACAACATCTCTCAAAGAATTCTAGGAATCTGAGATTGTAAAAAGTGGACCTACTGCCTCATTGAAGAAACTTCAAAGGAGATATCAAGATTTGGAACAAATACACAATTACATCATATTTGAGGGTTAGATTTAAATAAAATGGATTAATGTTTGCACAGTACTCTGTCTTCTTCCCTGATTGCAATCAAATTCGAAGGGTACCTGTGCCCCCAAAAAAATTCAAAGGGGATCGTTCGGGTGTTCAATCGAAGGAATAATACAAATAAACGAAATTTTGAGGGTGAAGATGTTTTACCGGAGCCGATAAACCTCTGGTACCGACTTTTTGTTTTATAATCCGCAACATCTTTCTTCTTTAACACCAAAAGCTTCAAAAGATTAAAACTGAGAACAATGAAAATTGAACAAATTAAAACCGAGAACAATGAAAATTGAAGCAATATTCGTCAGTACATCCTTTAAGCTAAATTCAGCGAAGAAGAAATCTTAAATCGAAAAAGAAGGTACCTTGCCTTTTCCTATACACCACCGGCTGTAAAGGTGAATCAATGGCGAGCCAAAGGTGACGAATGAAAAAGCGGAAGAAGATGGAGGTTGCCGGAGAAGCCCCCATCCGCTCACTTCTTTCCACCATCGACGAGCAACAGACCCTTTTCCCTCACACCTTTCCCTTTCTTCCCCATCAACAATCGCTTCTGCCTACCTCCTCCCAAACCTTCTTCTGACCTCCTCCTCTTCTCACCTCACAGTCGGACAAGAGGGAATAAAATCTTTGCTTCTTCCCTTCGTTGCTTCAGTCTCGTCGACCTCGGAGAAGCTTCCTTAGCCTGCAATCGATCGACATCCATTAGACCTTGCAGCCTTGACGGCTGTATATAAGAAAATAAATTAGGTTAAGAGTGAAGGCTAGCATGATTATAGAGACTATTTGTGGAAGCTATATATCAAATTACTAAAATACCCTTGATTGTTTATTTAATTATTTAAATTTTTATTTAATTTTGATTGGCCCACATTTATGTATACGATAACACAATACTTAGTTTAAACAAATGAACCTAGCTATATATATATATATATATATATATATATATATATATATATATATATATATATATATATATTTCATAAATTTATTTTCATTTAAAAAAAAATCGTAGATTTCATATACTTATAAAGTTTGAAAATCTAAAATTCATTGTTTTCTTTAATAACGAGTTAAATGCCTAACTTAACATCATATCTTTATATCTTAGTTATTTACGAAATCTTTTATATTACAAAATATCAATTATTTATATATTTTAGATTTTTATACAAGTACTAAACTCAATAAATAAAATTCCGCATGTACATTACCCGATAGCCGCAAGGTCAACTTGTATCTTGTGAGATTTGATTAAACATTATATGTCTTTTAAGTCATTCCGTTATAAATGGCCGAAGTAAAAAAAAAAACATATTTCAAATTCCACAAAAGTACCTAGAAATGGATTGAGAAACGAACCAACACACATGGTTAATGGATAAATTTGACTGAGAATAAAAATCTAAAAGATCAAATGAAAAAATAAAAAGATGTAAATGGCTTTTTTTTTTTTTTTTTTTTAAACAAAGATTAAGTTTAATAGTATATTAAAAGCAAATATATAAATTTTTTAATACAATTAAAAAAGTTATGGATTTTTTTTGAAAAAATTAAAATATAAAGAAGTTTACCATAAACGGATAAACCTGTTAAAAGGATAAAAAATGTAACTTTTTTTTTAAATTTTTTTTTAAATAAAACAAAGTTTAAGTTTCATGTGAGAAAATCAAATATATAAATTAATTTTAAGTAGTTAACCATAAAAACTATATCAATGTAGTTATTTGACTAGATTCTGATTATTAACAAGGTAGATTCCATTGATCTTTAATAACATCTACACCAATAATATTATAGTAAAAAAAAAATTAAATTAGGTATTACAGTATTTATTATCTTTTGGTTGAGTTTTTTTTATACAAATTTCATTTAATTATTGTTTATAAGTTTCTTTCCCGTGGACCAAGCCCAGCAAGAAAGAGAAATATTTCCATTAGCATCTTTTCGATCAAACGGTCCAAATCACTTTTAGGTTCTGTTATTAATTACAGCCGTGGGATACAACTTTCAATCTTAACCATACGATCAAAATACCAAGACTTGATATACCGTCGATTATTTAAAAAAATTGAATTTCAAAAGCTCAAGAGAGGGAGGAACAAAGCAAAGAAAGCAAGTCTATATTTTTCGCTCCTGTATTTCTCTCTCCCCAATCTTTCTCGTCTCAATCACATCTAAAGATTGTTGTTTTCCATCGTAGAGTTGCTGGGTTTAACCGATTTTATTCGTGGGATGTGGTGCTGATTTGGGGTTAATCTTTTGATGATGTTTTAGTTGCGAATCTGAGCTGTTGGAGTGGGAGCGATAAGTTTATTGATTTTGTCATCGTATTGTTTCTGGGTTTCCGTTTTTTATTCGAATGGTTGTTGATTTTTGTTTGAATTTGGGGAATTTGGTGAATTTTTGTATATTTTCATAGTTCTGTAAAGGTTCTTGATAAAGAAAGTGAAATCTCAAATTGGAGAGATAATAATGGAGAAGGGTGAAGGCGGGGGGGATTCAAATTTCCCTCCGAAAACGAATCAATCGGAGGCGGCGGAGGTATCGACGGCAACACCGATGGATATCCCGGCTGCAAAAAAGCTCGCACGGCAGCTGGATTTTAACAGCATCGGTGGTAGTGTACCCCCGGCGGCGTCGTTGGCGAGGACTCAAGTGGTTTTGCCGGAGCACCCTCAACGGCCGGTTGTGGTGCATGTTCAACACCCAGCGCCACCGCCGCCGCCACCACAACCAAAACAGTCGCTGCTGCAACAACAACCTTTAAGGCCTTTGTGAGTATTCTTCAATATGCTAGATTATAAAGTATTAAATTCCAATTGATTTGTGTTTGATTTCATAACATTGATGGGTTTTTGTATTAATCAAAATCAGACATCTGCAGAACTTCACAATTCCAACTTTATTAGTGCTCCATGTTTTAGTTAGATATCACGTATTAATAATCTGAATCTGGATTTTGAAGCCTCTTTAATCCCTTTTTGTTTGGTTTCTTGTGATACCATGGCTATTCTATCACATGATAACAGAACTCCATACTTCATTAGAAAACAGTTATATGGCGATTCTGTTTTGCCTTGTACCTTTTGTTTGATTTCTTGTTATAAAAATACCAAATTATAAATCATGTATCATTAAATACATCATACATGACAGGTGTTTCGATGTGCATTTACAATCTGATAACGTGATGATCAATATTTAGAATCAAATAATCATCTGTAATAGAACATGTGGGATAAGTTAATCACACTTATGATTGTGTTGATGTGATTAGTAAAGAAGTAATGGATACAGTAAGGGTATACATTGGATGCGTATTTTGAATCTGATTATATGATAATATGATATCAAATAATTAGAATTAGATAATCAACTATAGTAAACCATGGTATAAGGAAATAATATTTGGTAGTGCTTCTTTTGATTTAAGAAATAATAATCACTTTTGATTGTGTTGAAAGTTCATTTATTAATGGTGGAAAACTATATATTTCTTTATGCCAGAAAACCAGAATCTCCAAAGGCTCGAGCAAGACAAAATGTTGAAGGAAAAGATGGTACTCCAAAGAAGCCAAAACAGTGTAATTGTAAGCACTCAAGGTGCTTGAAATTGTAAGTACCATTCTTCAATTCAATATTCATTTTATAAAAAAGTAATTTAACGTTAGAGTATAAGAGTACTAGACCAAGTAAAAGTAAAAAACAGAGCTGAAGCATGTATTTACTTTATATATTTAATGCAAGAATTATGAGAAAGCTTCTCTCGTGTAATGTTATTCCATTTTTGCTTATATAGCTTACGCACACGTGTGTGTATATAAATTTTAATTTGTCTGACTTCTGTTCTGTTCTTGAATTATAGTTGTGTTTCTTTTCTTTTTTCCCATTAAGTGTTGTATCATATGTATGGATGTATATAGTTTACAAAATCTATGAGGAAATGACAACACATTTGGGGAAATGGAAGGAAAAAATAAACAAGAGCAAATTTGTAACAAGTTTGGACTTCATTAAGTAAAAAACAATCATATTTTTGACTAAGGGGTTGTTTCATTTTTTCCTATTAAGTTCTGTTTGGTAAGGTGGCTGAATGGGTGATGATATTTGATATCTGTTTGAATAGAGTGTTGTATACATAAGGTTTGTTTCTTTTCTAGACTGAATGAACTGTCTGAATGAGACTAAATGAACATTTGACCTTTTTCATTCTAAAAAACCAAATTTCACCAATTTTAACGTGAGAGAAGTTAGGATGAAAAAAAAGAAGGGCTAATAGGTTAAGGGTTAGTGTCTTAATACATTAAGCCAAGTTTTTTGGCTTAATCAGCTAAGTCATTTTGTCCAGATTAAGTCAAAAAGAAAGAACCATGTATATAGCTGGCAAGATTAAGTGCTTTGTTGATCAAGTAAAAAAGAAACACCCCCTAAATGGACTTAAGGAGGACATGACTTGATCTTGTAAACTATTCATGTTTTTTTGTTTTTAAAACTTCACAGAGAAAGAAAGGGAAATGAGTGTTTCCTCATGAAGTCTTAACCTTTTTACAAATCAGCCTGATTTTGTGTGATTTTGGTGGGCAGATATTGTGAATGCTTTGCAATGGGAATATATTGTGATGGGTGCAACTGTGTCAACTGTCATAACAATGTTGAAAATGAGCCTGCAAGAAGAGATGCTGTTGAAACCACTTTGGAACGAAATCCAGATGCATTTAGACCTAAAATTGCAAGTAGTCCTCATGGAAACCGTAATAGAAGGGTGAGTCATCTTCAATTCCATTGCTTTTTTTTTTTTTTTATTACGTTTTTCAAAAGTTGTGATAGTTTTAGTAACATTTTTCATACACCACCATTTGTTGCACCAAAATGGTGTAAAGGAATACTACAACACCAAATTTGGTGTTTTACTTTCACTTTACATCATTTCGTTGTTAAATTTTCATGCGTACAGTTTGGTTCTTCAAGTTTGAGTTTATACATTTCTAGTAAAATGTTTGTTCTAATAATATAGTATCTATCAATCACAAATTTATGCAGGAAGAGGCGGGAGGAAAACATAATAAAGGATGCAATTGCAAGAAATCAGGATGCTTGAAGAAATACTGTGAGTGCTTTCAAGCAAACATTCTTTGCTCTGAGAACTGTAGATGCATGGATTGCAAGAATTTTGAAGGAAGTGAAGAAAGGCAAGCTCTTTTTCATGGAGACTCTGTTAATAACATGGTCTATCTTCAACAGGCGGCAAATGCCGCCATCACCGGAGCTATCGGGACCTCCGGTTACGGTTCACCGCCAGTGTCCCGGAAAAGAAAGGGGCCGGAAGTTTTATATGGTGGACATGCAGCAAAAGATTCAGTGTTTCATAGGGTTGCACACTTTCATGAGGTAATTTAATGATATTCTTGTTTTAGGTGGTGTTTGTTAAATGGGAGGTAGTTTTGACTTTTGACTTTTGACTTTTGAGGATGAGAAGGGTATTTACGTCTTTTGCAAAGACGGAAGTTTTATATGGTGGACAAAATATTTCAAATTTTGTTCCAATCACATGTGCCTTTAGTCCAATGCAAGCCAAATGCAGTACAACCTGTTCTGTTTTGTCCTGTTTTATTCTGTCTGACAAATGGGGTCTTTATAGATGGTTGAAAATAGTTGACTTTGGGTTCATATTATTTGACTTTTTTTTTATTGATATGCAACCAGACAAATCATGTCAAAGATTCCACTCCTTCATCTTCATGTCCTTCTGCTCCTGGTGCTCGTGTAGCTAACAATGCACCTGTGGGCCCTTCCAAATATACATACAGGTGTGTACTTTCTTTCACCAATGTTGCATAAGATAATGGAAACAAGTAACTTTTGTTACATTATATGGTAAAAATTGTAACTTTTTTACATGGAATGGTTGAAGAAAGTATCTTTGCATGAATTAGTGAAACAAGGGAAGTATCTTGTTGCATTTCACCCTTTTTATAGACTACAATGTGCTAAGTATAATTACAAAACTCTATTACTTTTTGAATAAATCGATTTAGGAGGTTGTATGCATAGCGACTTTCGACCCTTTTAAATCTTTTTTTGTCTATATCTTATAAGTTTACCCATTTGACCAATAAAATCTATAACCCAAATTGATTATTTAATATTTATATCCTTTTTTTTGGAAAGCTAATTAGTTCATCTTGGTTGAAGGTCTCTATTAGCAGATCTTATTCGATCAGATGATATGAAGGAGCTATGTGCTGTATTGGTGGTGTATGCAAGTGAAGCTGCTCGTGTGCCTTCAGGTATATTTCAAGAATTAGAATCAGATCATAATACAAAAATATTTGAGTATAATTAGGTCATTTGGATGACATTGCTATAATTAGGTAGACTTTTCATAGTAGATTGTTGTAACATAAAGAAATGAAAGTATGATTATAATTTAATAACAAAAAAAGTATGTTGCAATTTGTTATACTCAGATGAGACAAATGCAAAGGAAAAGACAAGAAACATTAACAGAGAAAGCTCCCTAACATCATCAATAACAGATCTACAACAAAGCCCAAAGGAAGGTGATGCTCAGAAAGCCATGGCTGATGAATCTTCAAGTGAGAGGCCAATGTCTCCAGGAACCCTAGCCTTGATGTGTGATGAACATGATTCAGTGTTCATGAATTCTGATTCTGATGGATTTCTGGATCATGATCATGCGGATAATAATAATAATAATCAAAAAAATCATGGTCGATTGCCAAATGGACAAATCATTACTCAAACTTATGTTGAGCAAGAAAAGACAGTGTTGACAACCTTTAGAGATTGTCTTAATAAACTCATCACTTTAGGTGAACTAAAAGGCAAGCTTCTTCCTTTTTATATTTCAAATTTGCAATGCTTAAGGGTATATAAGTCATTTTACTCTACCCTTTGATGATGAGATAAGTTTTTGGTTGTGTGTTTTGATTCTGATTCTAACTTTGTTTTGACATTGCAGAAACACAATGTTCTTCATTGGCAAGAAGCGATTATGGAGGTCAAAGTCAAATGGAAGCAGTTGAAAGCTCAACAACAAATGCTCATTGGAATCCTTCCATTAATGGTTTCTCAAGGCCAACACAACTTCCTCAACATAATGATAACCAAAATAATATGAAACCCCCATTTCATCTTGAAAATGGAGATTTGAAACTAAAACATGAAAAAGATATGCAATAAGAAGGATGCTTGTGGCATTTTTGTATTATTATTATTATTATTATTATTATTATTATTATTAGGCCATTCATTTTTTATTAGATGCAACAGCTAGTTATGCTTTGTGTGTCATTGTTGAAATAACCGGTTGCTTTATTGATTTATTTTAGTCTTTTAGAGTTTTGAGTATTTTGTGCTTTCTTGTTTTTATCATTTAGAATTCGAGTTCAATTCTTGTTTGGCTATTGGGCATTTTGTCAAAGGTCAAAATGGTGATATTTACACCTAACCCCTATTTAATCAACCATATTTCATTTTACATCCTAATTATAGTTAAACTTTAAATATTTGTTATTCATTAACAAATATTAAATACTATTTTTTAATGTTTGATATTAAATATTTAATTCTTATTTACTGTAAAATATTTTTGGTATTTTTACAAATATATACATAAGAATTTATCATCATTCATATTTTTGAAAAAAAAAAACCCGAAATGTTATATTTTTAGTTTTTGGTGTGCAATATTTCATAAAAAGAAATTGACATTCGTGTGTATAGATTAATTAATTATAGAGAAATAGCTTTTCAAAAGGGTCAATAATCAAAGAGATTTTAAGTTAATAAGTCTTTGTTTGATAAAGTTAGTGTAAAGCTGATGTGGCAAAACAAAAAACTATATATGAGGTCGATGATATATTAAACACAAGTCTTCAACAATCCTTGGAGAATCTGATATATTAAACACAAGGAAAGCAACTTTAATTGGTTTTTATTCTTGTTGCCTCAAAATACACTAAACACAACCTTTATTATCTAAACCTATTTAACCCTTATTCAAAATTAATATACTCCACATCATATAACACTAACCCAACTTTCCATCTCTGTCTTTATATCAATCTTCAACAAAATCGATGCCAACAAACAACCATTTTGTTATTAAGGTGTTGAAAAAAAGACCACTTTCATGCCATACTTAGCTTCATATAACTCAATCCATGAACATATGGTTGTATACCCTTGCTTACATACGTGCTCTAGAACCCGTATTTATAGGTGCACTCTGCAAAAGAACACCCATATATAGCTTATGTCCCATTAAGTCCATTAAGTAAAAAAGATTGTGATTCATGAATCAAAGAAGATTGAGGATAAAAAAGTAAACTCACCAATGGGACACCATTCATGGCTCTTTCTTCCAAGAATCTTGATGGTTTATAAAAGTTGCCATATTTTTCAGACCATTTTTTCAGACTTGTATATATGTGTTTACTCCCAACAACATCTGCCCAAAAAACAATGCCACCACTGCAACACATTGTGAAAATGTAAATGCAAAATACATTTTTATCTAAAATCGAAAATAGCTATTTTTCAATTATAAACATACCGATATGAAGGAAAACTCATCCCAAGAACAGATGCAATGTCAAGATCGGATGCTTTCACAACAATTTTTTCCTCTAAAACACGACATGCTTCATTCACCACAGGAAACAGCACCATCTCTACTATTTCTTCATCAGTCATGGCTACAGTCTACACAGATAAACCACAAAATGACAAAATTGCCCTTAGTATGTCCCAAGGGTACAAATGGGTTACCTTTCCTTGTGGCTTAAGATTGGCTACCCTTCTTGACTCTTCTATAACTGGTAACACCATATTATCAGGTTTTGGTTTACTACCTTTTTCATACACATAATACCCTTTTCCATTGTTTTTACCTGAAAAAGCCATGTCATTTAAACACATGATTGAAAGACAACACGAAAATGAAAACTAGTAAATTACCATTTCGCCCATTTTTGATAAGAAGGTCAACTACAGGAGAGATGAAAGTTCGATCAGGAAAAGCAGTGGCGAATTCTTTAGCTACAGCAACTGCTAAATCATATCCTGTCAAGTCTTCAAGCCTAGAATTTTTTTAACAATCACCGGTTTGGAAAATTACCGTTTTGCCCTTTTCTAAACTATTTGAATTTATGATTAAGAAACAGAAACTTACTGGAATGGCCCCATTGGAAGCCCAAAATTCTTGATCAATCTGTCGATTCTAAATAAATCTACTCCTAAAAGAAGCAAAATGTGTGCACTTTGTTTGTATGGAAAAAAGGTTCGATTAACAGCAAAACCAGTACAATTTGAAACAACAACAGGAACTTTTTTTATAATTTTTGAAATTGTCATAAGATCAAGAATCACTTGGGGAGAAGTCTTTTCTGTTTGAATGATCTCCAGTAGTGGCATTACATGTGCAGGACTGTTATCAGTAAGATAAATATTAGTTGCAACTTTTTTTTATTATTATTAAATTTTAAATCTTGATCTGTTAATCTTCAAAATGTATAAAAAAAAACATACCTGAAGAAATGTGCACCCACAATTCGATCTTGACATGTAAGTGTTTGACCAATTAAATTGAGGTCAATGGTAGATGTGTTGGTTGCTAAAATGCAATGAGGTGGACATATTTTCTCAATTTCATTAAATATTTTTTTCTTTAATTCAACATTCTCAATAACTGCCTGCCATTCAAAGTAACAAATCAAACAATTAAACACAACAATCTTTATATTTTATAGTAATCTTTATACATAAATAGAAAAAGAACATACCTCTATCACCATATCCACATCCTTGAAATCTGAGTAGTCCATTACCCCTTTAATCATCAACAAGGCTTTGTCAGCTTTTGACTGAGTCAACTTTTTCTTTGCAACCAAAACTCGGACATTTGCTACAAGAAAATTAATACCAATAAGTTTTTGAATCACAATATTTATAAAACAGAGTTCATTAGAGTCATAAAGACTCCAAAAAAAGTTCATTTGAGAAAATGAGTACCTTCTATCATTTTTATCCCTTTTAGAAGAAACTCGGGGTTGACTTCTTTGAGAATAACATAAATATTATTAATAATAAAAGCTGTAGCTATTCCAGAGCCCATTAAACCTCCACCTATGATAGCAACTTTCTTCACAGCTCTTGGCTTGAGCCCAATATCAGTAACATTAGGCACCTATAAGTGATTAAAACTAAGTTGAAAATGTAGAAAATATTCAGAAGTTTAAAAATGTTGGTATTAGTTTATATCAAATATGTTACCTTTGAGGTTGCACGTTGTGCAAAGAACACATGAACAAGACCTTTTGATGTGTCTGAAACAACAAGCTTGTTGAAGACTTTGGCCTCCTGAGGGATAAAATTTTGTATATTTGAGAAATATTAATAATGACAAGATAAAAGAATCTTTTGGAACAACACTAATGTTATTAACATTTGAAATGATTATTTTGAGAACAAAAATTGTCATACTTATACCTTCAAAACACCATGATATCCTCCATGAATAATACCTTCCATAATTACATCAATACATGCTATGTGTTGAGGCATATTAGGCCATGTTATTTTGGCTTGTTCTCTTGCAATTGTAAGTATCTTATGTGCTTCAGATAAGGAACCGATTTTGTCTACAAGGTGAAGGGAGCGGGCCCACGGTTTAAGGTTGTTTGCAATGTCTAATGCCCATTGCCTTGAGACTTTAAGCAACTCTTGAGGTGACACAATAGCATCAATGAGCCCTAGCTTATGCCCTTCTTGAGAGACTATTGATTTAGATGTCTGCAAAATAACGTTTAAAAGATATTTGAGAAAAATGATGACACTTGGAGAAACGGAAGGAAAGAATAGACAAGGGCGAATTTGTAAATAGGTAGGACTTAAGGGGGACTTTCTCTATTTAGTTGTTCTTTCTAGATTAAGTAAAAGTGTCTTATATGGATAAAGTGATTGAGTGGGTAATGATATATGTCTGGATAGTGTCAGGGGTTGTTTCTTTTTGGACGAAATAAACTGTCTGAATATGAGTAAATGACAATTTTACCCTTCTAGTTAGAAACATAAATAATAATACGAGTTTTTCCATGTTTACACTTGTTGCAAGGGAGAGGAACTCACCAACATCATATCAAGTGCCTTTGGCAACCCCAAAAGTCTAGGAAGTCGTTGGGTACCTTAAAAAGTATTTTGTTTTTTTTATTAAGAACAACCATTAAACAAAAACATATTTATTAAACTTAAATGAAAAAAAGTTTTAAAAGTAGACAAATTACTAAACTTATACCTCCAGCCCCTGGGATAATTCCTAGAGACAATTCGGGTAAACCAAGTTGGGCATTTGGAGTTGCAATTCGTGCATGGCATCCCTGTTCAAAACAACAAGATGAAAATGATTTTAAAGAACTTAAATTTAAATAAAAATAAAAAAATTCTTTGATTCCCAAAATCACAAACCATGGCAACTTCTAACCCTGCCCCAAGTGCAAGTCCTTCAATGGCAACAACTATAGGTTTCTTTGCATCTAAGTTTACAGAAGAACATAAGTTAATAAAAAAACGGATCTTTGATAACATTTATGAACGAGGAGTTGTATGATAAGACCTTCTATTCTGTTGACCACAAGGTCAACGGATAAATCAGGTAGAAGAGATAACTTTCCTGCAAGTCCAAACAATGCTTGATTTTCAAAAAAACATGTTTGAATTTTGCAAATAGAATACAAATAATGAAGGTGTACCAGTTTGTTGAACTTTTCTGAACACATTGATGTCAAATCCACCAGAAAACTTCCTATTCTTGCCTATATAATATAAGAGAAACCAGACATACATGAAAAGATAAGAAGAAGATATCATATCAGTTTTGACTTCTACTATTGAATTGTAATCTCGTTAAAGCAAAACATCAAACAGTTTGTAGGCATTCCAATTCATAGAAAATTACATCAAAACAACAGTCAAATTTAATCAAAGGAAAAGGCTTGTTCAACGAATTACCAGTCAAAACGATAGCTTTTACATCATCTCTGCTCATAGCTTGTTCAATTTTCTCCTTCAACCAAGCAATAACTACACAGGACAACCGATAAACGCAGCAAACAATTAATCATTGAAATCACATGTAAGGTGGAAAGACAAAACTAACAAAACCCCAGTTTACCAAAGGCATCAAAGAACATACAACTCACAAACAAACAAATAATCAATAGTTTTAATGGGAGTTAGTTAAAGAGCAGTGATGCAATAAGAAAGATTAAACCCACGAAGATAACAATAAACTGATCATTTTGCTCGTGATTTGAATGGGGGCAAAAGAAAAACGAAAGAAACGGTATTGAATTAAAGCTCACTTGAGACGGCAAAGGCATTGACAGGTGGATTGGAGATGGTGATCACAGCAACACCATCAGAACCCACCACCATTTTCACTTCAAGCTCTGCCATCTTTGTTAAGATTCCTCGAGCAGTGGGTCAAAGGGAAGTCAATGGAGGAGAAGACTACGATCAAAACTCAAAACTCAACAGTAATTTATAATGGAAGAATGCAGTGACTCAGTGAGTGGAAGTTGGAAGGCCAATTTGGTCGATATTTGCTTTTTAGAGGTAAGAGCAACCTCTATAGATTAATAACGTTATATTTTATTAATTTAATAAAATATTATTATATCGATAAATTAATAAATTATTAATTTAAGAGTTGGCTTATATTCGTAAAAAAAAATATTGCAAGTGACAACAACTCTTCACAAATTGTATTCCAATATTAGAATTTAGTGCTTCAACTCTTAAATATAATCGAGAGATTTAAAGATAAACTCAATATAGATTTTTGAAATTCATAAAAAAAACAAGTATAACTATAGAATCCTTTTTACAAGAAAATTCTAGAATTTTAGAATATTTTAATAATTATTAATTTATAGTTTCGCTGGTCCTAATATATTTACATTGGGATTTCAAAAAATTATTAATTTATTATTTTATCGATTGAGGTCTAATTTTGTACAGCTCCCAAGTTGGAACCCGACAAATTATTAAATTTATCGAGGTTATTAATTTATCGAGTATTAAATTATAGAGGTTCTATTGTAGTTACAAAATGCCTTGTTATTTATTTAAAAATAACTTAATTATATGGAAATAATCATGATGTCCAAGTGGTTTTTTTTCTTTTATTTAAAAAAAAAATATATTTTTTAAATATAATATAGAGCAACATATACTCTGTTTTTAGTTTTTATATTTTTTTGTTTTACCTATTTTTTGTTTTATTTTATTTTTTAAAAAATGTTTTTAAATAAAATTTAGAGCAATATATTCGAAGTTTCTTATGTTTTTTTGTTTTGTTTTTATTTTTTGATTTATTTTGTACTTTTTGATTTTTTTGAACTAAATATCGGTTCTAGTTTTATGTTTAACAATTATAAAATTTCAAATCATAAATATATTAAGCATCATACTATTTTTGTAATATATCATTTTGGATCATAAAAATTTCGATAATATCATTTTGAAATTTGGATCATATCATTTTGAATAATAGTATTTTGGATTATATATTTTTTAATCATATAATTTTGGTTCATATTATATTCAATTAAATAAAGTTTTCGTTTAGAACAATATTTAGATTATTATATTTTTTTAGTCATTTAATTTTGAATCATAAAAATATAATAAATAAGGATAATAAAATATTTGGATCAAAATATTTTTAGATCATAACAAATTAAGAATCTTAAACATATTTAATCATAACCTTTTTAAATCATAAATATTTTGAATAATATTTTGTTCAGTATTAGTATCTTTTTTAAACTTGTAATCTTTTAAAATAAAGTTTGGTATCTAAACAACCTTATTTTCAAAATTTTCTTTTCAAATATATATATATATATATCTATAATATATATATATATATATATATATATATATATATATATATATATATAATAGAACGTAGTTGTGTCAGGTCCGTAACAACCCTCGGGTCCGTATCAACCCCGAATCCATAATGACTCCATATAACATGTAACTATGTTGGATCCGTAACAACCCCGAGTCCAAAATGACTCCATATAATAGCATGTAGCTGTGTCGGGTCCGTAACAACCCCCTGGGTCTATTTCACCCCATATACATAAGCATACATGCATATGAGCATAAGTCGCAAGGCAACAAGCACATACAAGCATATCAACAAGTGTCACAAAGACAACTATCATCCTACAAACATAATCCAGTAGGTCGGTATTGGTGCCTTCGACCCACGAGTACAGTGAAGAGACTCACATGAACTACTCAACAGAAGCCCAACAACTACCTCAGTATCAAAACAGCCAACCCGAGCTTTCTAAATCCAAAACGAAACCAACCCTTAAACAAATACTCAATTCTACCCAAGTTTGACCAAAAGTCAAACAGATCAAAAAGTCAACGGGCAAAGTTAAGGTCAAAATTTCCAATAGCAGCCCTCCATGTCGTTGCCTTCCCTGGCCACGTTGTGGGCACTAAATGCCAAAACAGTCGTTGCCCCAGTTACCACGTCGTGGCAGCCAAAGGCCACGCCGTAGGGACTGGTCTGAACAGCTCAAACGAGCTTAATCCATTTTCTTTCGATTTTAAGAGCTTCAAACCTTAGATCTGATTCCTTCCAAGGTTTTAATGGAAAAAGTTTCTAGCTTTATCCATTATGAAGGTCCAAACCACCAAGATCTAGAATTTAAGTCTCAAAGGGACCCAAAATGCATCTTTCCCAACTTAATCCATTAAATCTAAGTCTTCCACTTCCATATATGAATCAACAAGATGTATAGAGGGATAAAGTTTCTAACTTTATCCATAACAATGCCCCAATCATTCGAGATCTAAACTTTAATACACCAAAATGGCATAAATGACCAAGATAACTTGCATGGTTAAAAGGGAAGGCAAAAGATCATAACTTTCCTAGTCCATGGGGTTCAAGAAACATAAAAAATTGATCAAAAGATGTTGGAGTCCCCTCAACTCCAAGATCACCCACAAAATGGACCAAAAGTGTCAAAAACCCCAAATGACAATATCTAAAGAACTAGATAGCAAGAATGGAACTTTATACTTACAATAGTTTAGAAATGTAGTGCATTTGATGGATTTAAGCTTAAAAACTATCCTTGCACCCATAGGAACCTTCTTGATCTTTAAACTTTATCAAAATAATATAAAAAGCATCCAAAAGAGGAGGGATGAGAGAGGAGAAGTTCAAATCTTGAAGGTAGAGGCTAGGGTTTCTCTTAAGGGGTTCTAGAGATGATGGAGGCTGATAAAATGCCCACAAATGAAGAACACTAAGCTTAAATATGTTGAAAATCCTAAAAATCATGGGCTTGGGCCTGACTGATCGCCATGTCGTGGGCTCTGAACCCCACGCCGTGGCCACAAATTTTCACCCAAATCCACCTCAAATTCAAACAACCATAACTTCTTCGTTTCAACTACGTTTTCGGCGATCTTTATATCCACGGAAAGGTATTGAAGACCCCCATACTTCTATCTAGTTATTTTTGGCTTCACACATGTCGAACTAAAAACCATAATCCATGCAAGAAGCCTAACATATCCCAACTTGTCCCAAATTATATCAAGGTCCCCTACATTGAAGCCCAAGGAATCCTGGATTTCGTCCTCAAAATCCGTCTTGGTTAGAATCTTTGAAAGTAACACCAACGTCTTCCATAAGCTTCCTCTAACCATTCCGAAATCAAGGAATCTATACAGAGAAGTCGAGAGATCACTCGAAGACCCACAACTGTCAACAAACCACCCAATAACTTGAAAATATTAAACCGCAACCACTATCCTCCTCTCCATAACTGTAAGGCCCAACTCCAAGTGAAAACCACTCAAACCGAGAAACTTCTCAAAAAATGGAACTACAACTAACTCCATCAATAAACCCCCAAAACCGAGAACCCATCAGTCTAAACTCCAGAACCCATACTCTAATACTGATGATCATCCATCTTCGTACCTACCCCTAGTCCCTGACTAGGAACACCACCAAATCATGCAGATGGAATACCCAAAACACACTGATCGAGAATTTCAACCAACCCCTGTTGGGTCTAATAGTGTTGCGTCCTTGGGCTCGGTCCTTAGCCCGGTTTTGTTATCCGGTTTGGGCCTGTCCAACCGTGTTTGTTTTACTAGGGTTTAGTATTTAAGGTGCATGCATGCATCCTTTATTGGTAGCGCTTTAACTATTATTCTGATTATTGTACTACAAACCCTAGCTCGCCTCTACAGTGGAAGTTCTTAATCGAGCTCTGCTGAGGCGTGACTACATTTGAATCATTAAGCGTTACTTGATTCTATATCGTGTTGATTGTGTTTGTTTGCTTTTATTGTTCAACCTGTTGAAGATCTAATCGATCTAAGAGTTTTTCAACTCATCAATTGGTATCAGAGCAGGAAACTGTGTAATTCATACACATCTCTTCTGTTGAAGAAGATCTTAGGGTTTTCCGTTTTGATTGATATTGTTAGAGCCGTCATTTACCATTGACGTAGTTCTTTACATATTCGATCTTACCCTAACGTTATTTACAAGTCTGATCTTAAGCAGGTTTTTGAACAAACATCGTCATGTCTATGGATGATTCTCAGTCTAACCCAATCAATATCTCCAACAGCATAGGATCGACGACTAGGATTCCTATATTGTACACTCAGGATTATGAGGTTTGGACTCATCACTTTGAAGATTACGTGATTGGCTCAGAAGACAATGGATACTTGATCTGGGAGGCGATTACTGTAGGTCCATTCGCTCACTCAAAATCTTCAAGAGTTGTTAAAACTCAAAAGGAGTACAATCAACTCATCAGTGATGTGAAAGACATTCCCCAAGATGAGAAGGAAAAGTTTCAGTGCAACATCAAAGCTTTGAGAATGATCCGGTTTGCTTTACAATCGGACACATTTCGGTTAGTAAGCTCATGCACAACGGCAAAGGAAATATGGAACAGATTGAAGGAATTGTATTCTACGGATGAAGATCTTGAGCACTCAATCCAAACATTATTGCTCTCAGAATTTGGTGATTTCAAGCAGAAGCCCGAAGAGAAGCTTATTCAAGCCTTCGATCGCTTTAATCATCTCCTTAGTAAGATGATTAAGCATGGAATTGAAAGGAAAGTCATTGAACAGAAGGTGACATTCATGAATGGTCTTAGACCTGAATGGATGGCTGTGGTGTCGACTGTGAAGGCACATGAACAATTCAAGACTTATTCTCTAGCCAAACTGGTGGGAATATTGAAGTCACATGAGAGTGTCGTGACTAAAGAAACGAACGTTGTTTCTAGTATGGGTTCCTTGGCCCTAATCTCCAAAGGAAAGAATGCAGCTGACGAAGAAGAAGATTTGGATCTTTATGAATATGATCTAACAAGTGAAGAGTATGCCTTGATGGTGTCAAATCCCAAGAAGTTCATCAAAAGAAGGTTCCCAACAAACAAGAACCGAAATTGGCAAGGTAGCTACAGTGCCGAGAAAGCAAAGGAGGAACCGAAGAGTGTTTCTCAG